TCGTTTAGCTATGTTCGTATCAAATTGATCCTTGAAATTATTGTTAGGATAACATCAAATCTAATTTCAAGGATTTAAGCAACAATTAAGCAATATACATATATTTTTGAAACAGTAATTAAGTAAGTGGGTATTTAAAAGTGTGTTTATGATAGTTTTTTAAAGTGATTCTCGCTAGAAAATATAATTATTTTTATATTAAAATAATTAAAAAAATATTAATTTTTTAATTTTAAAATATAGAAAAAAAATCTTGAATTGTACTACTACTGCACAGAAGTTAAGGATGGAAAGAATGGTTGACTCGTTGAGTATGAGCTCTATCGTGTACAAATTAATTCCTTACTGGTTTAAAGAACAGATAACATACTACCTCTAATTAGTTCTAATCATAAGAATATTTTAATTTTTTACTTCAGTATAGACGCATGGAAGATCCATGCATCATGGACGAAAGAATTGACCGCACCATTTATGTGAAATATTTAAGAAAAGGTGGAGGAAAGAAGGCGGTGCCCTCTACTGGTGTTGATGAAGATCTAGCTAGTGTTCTTGCATCCGAGTCAAATACAATCTCCTTGGTTCATATGATGACGATAGAATGTGGCCAGCAAATTTGGACAAGATAATTTAGGCCCCACATTTTCTAATAAAGTGGCCAGGCTGATGTCTAGCTAGTTAGGTTAAATGGAGTTTTAAATTTTCAAGTGGGTATCATATGTATTGAAGAAGAAGGTGGAAGCGACTTTTGGTAAAAATTAACAGATTAATTAGTTCTTAATATGTTGTATTTAGTCAATGTTTTGTGATAGACAATATAAATACAAAAAAGATAGGAATATATTTAATCGAAAAAATAATAATGTTCATAAAATAAATCTGTTTTTAAAATAGAAAATATAAAAAGACAAGACATATCCCTTACTATATTTATAACTAAACAATATTCGGATGAATTTATAGGATTAGCTTTTACATATATAATTACTAGAAATTTAATAATTTAAACGATCATGTGGAAACCACTAAAATATATATTCAAAGTTGTTTATATATATATATATATATATATATATATATATATGTTGTGTTCGAAATGTAATGCTGGAATAAAGTGGTATTACCATGTCACAATGCAGGATTCCCTTTGACTATTGGATCATAATATATATTTTTTAATCACCATTAATGCTCGTCATTAATAATTTACTACAAGAACTACACAAAACTCTAGCTTTCTCATGGAGGAAAACTTTTTTATTCTTGGCTTCATGGCTTGGACTTGTAATTGGCTCTACATACATGGAATTGCATAAAATCTTCATCTCCATTGTGATGCCATTACTATTATATCAATAAACGTCCATATCAACTTTGTTGGTTGCGTCTAATTTGTTGATTAATTATGTAATTGCAACTCGATAATGTATTATATTGTTGAAAATGGAACAAAAATCCAAAATGACTTCCCAACAAATAAATAAAAAAATTCCACATCTTTATCATGTTGTTCTTGAAAGCATCACCATTAGAAACAAAAACTAAAGAAAGCATCTAGTAGAATATAGAGATGCCATGGGTGTACACATAACCCACGAAAGGATTAAAAAGGCTTAGCATTTTGCTTTTTTATTTAAAAAAAATTGCTTTTATTTTTAAAGAGATGATTGAGAGTGTGGTTGTGGTTTTTTTTTAAAGTATTTTTTATTTAAAATTATATTAAAATAATATTTTTTTAAAAAATTATTTTTGATATCAACGCATCAAAATAATTTAAAAATACTTAAAAAATAATTTAAAGCAAATAAATAAAAAATAAAAAATATTTTTTATATAAAAACACTTTTAAATTATAAAAATAAATAATACTAAGCTATTGCACACAAGGAAACAAATTCCATGATCTTTTTTACACCTACACAACACAATTTCTTCAACTATCTTAGCCATCACTTTTTGTATAATATTATACTTTGCCAAGCTTTTTCTTTTTGTTTTTATTTTAAAAAAAATAAAACATTTCAAGTCATTCAAGCATTGAATGTGCAAATTGTTAAGGTCCACTCTGTTGTAATTTAGCCTATCCATCTTTCCCCATAGACACACACACATATTTTTTATTTTTATTTTTGATATCATTACATCAAAATCATAAAAAAAATACTAAATAAAAATATTAATATAATATTTTTTAAAAAAATATAATTTTAAAAAGCATGTAAAAGTGAAAGCTCTCACACTCCGAAACTAGGTATTAACATACCAGTTTCTTTCTTCCAACTTTTTTTTTAGGATAGTTCATTTTTATTTTATTTGCAAGAAAAATAGTAGATTATTTTAAAATTTAATGGTTTGTTTTTATCAAAGCTCACAAACTTTTACTTTAAAGCGTTAATTACAAATTATAATAATATAATTTCATAAAACAAATTATAATAAGATGAGTTACTGGGTCATTTAAACTTCAAACATTTTACTACTGCTGTATCAAAGACGATTTTTCTTTTTAATTTGATAATCAAGAATATTTTCAAATTATGTTTTTCATATTCGGACTTAAGCTCTTCCCACCCGGCTGGATGAGGTATTTATTAGAAAATTATTTTTTTGAGACAATTCAATAGGATTAGATCCTAACCCTTCACTAGGTCAGGCCCATTAAAGTGATGTAGCAACGCTCATAGCCTATAATTTGACAGAGCTAAACTTTCTTTTCATGGGCCTATAAATTAACTTTTTTAGCCCAAACAACAACAAAATAAAAGTAGAGCTAATTTCATTTGACCCCTTTAAGTATATGGGCCTTATCAGTTTCTTCCCAAAACTTTATTGTATGACAATTACCCCCTTGATATTTCATCCATTTATCAATAAGGTTCTTTTGTTTATCTTCGTTATAAAAACTAATACAAAATGCCTTTATATTTTGGAGGCTTTAATTCCCCCCTTCCAAAAATAGAGGTAGTTTATCAATTAACTACTCAAAAAAATTCTCACGTGAAATATTTGAAAGATTTATGTATAATTTTGATTGTGAAAACGAAACATGAAAAATTAATAAATATAAAATTTGTTGAAAAAATAAAAATTAAAAGGCAAGATTCACTATATATTTTCTAAAAACTAATTCTCAATTATCTCTCTTAATACATTATGTATGTATGTATGTATAATTTTCATTTGAGAGAAGATTTTCTTGAAAAATAAATGATAAAAAATATAATTAACGCGAACCTTATATATAAAAAAAATATAAAGCACTCTATTTTTCTTTCCTCAAATCCAATGAATAAAAGCAATAAATCAATATAATAAAATATTGTTCGAATTCTTTTAAGCCTTTTGGAATATTAATAAACATAAATTTTAATTAGAACTAACATAGATTTGTTAAGCTTGTTTTGCTTCTTCCTGTTGATCACCCTTTAGTTTCTACCTTTGATTTGTTGAATTTGAGTGATGAAAGAGAGAGGAACGAGGATTTGGATTTGTTAAAGCCACTCATTATGGATTCTAGTAATTTACAACAATTTTTTTTCGAGTTCTTTGGGGTAAGTATTCTGTTGGTTTGATTTAAAAGTTCAGTTAAAGTTATAATTTTGATTGAAGAGAACAGGTGAAAGGTTTTAACTTATAATTATTGATTTTGGCTTAATGTGATTGTCTGTGTTATGATTTAGAGCTGTGCATTTGTCGTGCTGGACTTGGTTTTTGATTCTGATGTGTTTTAATTGTTTGGTTCAGATTTAAAGAGCTTATCCTCAATGGAAGGAGTTCATTTTTATTGCAGAAGTTGCTCCAATAGACTGACTAGAAGTCCTTTAAAGTAAGATTGTTGATAGCTCGTTCTAGTTATTTCCTTTTGATTTTGCTTGAGTATGGTTGATTTATTGGAATTCATCCATAAGTTTTCAATACCTCACTATACCATTTATAGTTTTACCAAATGAAAATTGGGATATGTAGGCTGTAGAAACGGGAGCTTTTATATAGGCTGCTTTGAGTCGTTAATTTGCACTTACGTTTATGGCATCACTTTAATAATTTTCTTTTTAGTCTTAGCTTTCCTCAGAATTTCTATTCATATGTAGGCAATTTGTGGAAATGCCATCGGTTAATTGGCCAGAGATGGCTGACAACTGGTTTGGAGGTTGCTGTTGTTCATTTGGAGGTGCCAGTGAGAAGTTGGTGAATAGGTATGCACATGCATATGCATGTCCAATGGGTGTGTGCATGTTGAATTCTACAGCTGTTACACTTTGCAGTGATGATCTTGCTGGATGTAAATTTTCTGAAAAATATAGAATCCAAACGTGCAAGCCTGAAC